CATCCAAAAGGGTAAACTTACTATATTGAAGAGTTTGTTCACTATAAACATATGTTGGATTGGTCCTTGATCTTGATTTAATTTACACAGTTAAAAGTGATAGGTTAAAAACCACCACAAATTATCATTTTCTGAAAGGTATGGGATACTATTGTGTTGTTGATTGTATCACTTGGGCTAAAGTGTTGTGATTGATCTAATCAGTTGTCCTTCCTGGTAAGATGAAAATGAGATAGCCTCAGACCTATTAGAGACTCAAAAGCTAAAGCCCTGCTATACCTGGAAGACATCTCTGAGAAGCAATCATTCCATAAGGGTTCTAAATACATCAACAAAGATACTTACAATAAGCAACTTCAAAGTATCAACACAGGAACTAAACTAAGGATAGTACTCAAAAAGAAAAAATGATAAGACATTTAAGCAAGTCAGAAACTCAGACTTCTGCCACACAAAAGGCAAATTCTGAGGAAAAGTAGGTGGAGAAGTCTGATAATCAATCACTTGGACAGCCTGAACTGATAGCACAGGAAGTTACAAAACGAATGAGGCTTTAGAAAAATTCAAAGCAGAAATAATCTCCCAGATAACTACAGAGATGGTGAGCAGAATGAAAGACATGATTAGAAGCTCTAGAACAGAAACAGAAAAAAATAATAGATGAGATCAGAAACATGCTGGAAACCATGAATGCCCAGCATAAGAAAGAAATGGAATCCATGAAACAGATTCAAACAGATAATTCAGGAGAATAAAAACTCCACTGAAAGCATGCATAGCAGATTAAGGGAATCTGAAGATAGAATATCAGATATAGAAGACAGGATCGTGATTAATGACCATGAAAACAGAGATTTCTTGAAAATAGTAAGGGACCATGAGAAATCAATCCAGTAGCTGCTAGATGATGCAAAGGAGAATAACATAAGAACGATAGGAGTCCACGAAACAGCAGGAGAAAGTACTATTGACATAAAAAACTGTTCACAGAAGTAATAGTAGAAAACTTCCCAGACAGAGGTGAAATGGACATACAGACAAGTGAGGCATATAGAACTCCAACTAGTTTTGATCAAAAAAAAATCTGCACCTAGACATATAATAGTGAAGATCCCAGAAACAGAACAGAAGAACAAAATCCTACAGGTAGTTAGAGAAAAGAAACAAATCACCTACAAAGGAAAGCCCACCAGAATCACGGCAGACTTCTCAACACAAACCCTCAAATCAAGGAGAGCCTGGGATAAAGTATTTCAAGCCCTAAAAGAAAATAACT